ACTCCCATGTATTTTTTCCTCCGAAATTTCTCTTTCCTGGAAGTCTCATTCACCACTGTTTGTATTCCCAGATTCCTGTACAGCATGACAACTGGCGACAACACTGTTACTTACAATGCTTGTTTCACCCAGGTATTTTTTGTTGTCCTCTTTGGAGCAACAGAATTTTTTCTCCTAGCTGCCATGTCCTATGACTGCTATGTGGCCATCTGTAAGCCCCTACACTACACAACCATCATGAGCAACAGAGTATGTACTATACTTGTCCTCAGCTGTTGGTTTTCTGGCCTGCTGATCATCCTCCCCCCTTGGCTTAGGCCTCCAGCTACAATTCTGTGACTCAAATGAGATTGATCACTTTGGCTGTGATGCATCTCCCCTTCTACAGATAACCTGCTCAGACACAGTGTTTTTAGAGAAAATAGTCTTGACTTCTGCCATACTGACACTAAGTATTACCTTGGTGTGTGTCACTCTCTCCTACACATACATCATCAAGACCATTCTAAAATTTCCTTCTGCCCAACAAAGGAAAAAGGCCTTTTCCACCTGCTCCTCCCACATGATTGTGGTTTCCATCACCTATGGCAGCTGCATCTTCATCTATGTCAAGCCTTCAGCAAAGGAAGGAGTGGCCATTAACAAGGTGGTGTCCATCCTCACTACTTCAGTTGCCCCTTTGCTTAACCCTTTCATCTATACACTTCGAAACAAACAAGTAAAAGCAGCTTTCAAAGACACAGTAAAACGGATTGTGTTTCTCTCAAAGAACTGATAGCCTATTGATGTTTGCGAAGTATTACTTACATTTAAATCTGAATAACTGTGAGCACTGTTCATGTAAATGATAAACATGGCTTCTTCTTATTTGGTAGACTCATCAAGCTAATGTTCTCCCTGGAATATTTTTCTCTTATAAAACAAAAACCAAAATCAAACAATTTATTTTGCCTTTTTTAAAATTTTCATTATTCAGAATGGTTTCCTCAATAATTGGATACCCCAGAGATTAATCAAAGACTCAATGTCATAAAAAGGAAATGTAAAGCAGAAGTTGCATCTCTGGCCACATGACCTTCTTATAATGTGGAATGGAAATATCCAGAGACCACTTCTCACTTCTCACAAGCTCTGAATTTAGAAGCATTATGACTAAATTTTGGTTGGGTAGATTCTGTAACTATTCAGATTTCAGCACCTCTTGATTCAAGAATGTTAGAGTTTAGGAATATTGATCACGTTATCAAAACAAGTTCATTATTTGGAAAGGATATTCTAAGATGTCAAAGATAAAATTAGAGTATGAAAAACATGGATGGATCTATAGAAGAGAGACAGAGAAGGAAAAACAAATATTAGTCATGTACATAATTAGAATTCTATTGACAGTTAAACAGTCTTTCTGTTGTTTTGTGCTTTATAATTATGGAAATAAACTTTTGTGCTTTATAGTACATATGTAACTGTTGTCTTTATCAAACATCAAATTATTCAAGTACACTGTATATTTTGATCAGACATATAAATTTTTCATATTATGGCCATAATATGGGTATAATCTTCCTTTGTACTTCAAAAATATTGAAAAATAAAATCAGTCTATTGCCAAAGGGCATTCTTCTTTTTGCCTTTCTAAGACACCAACAAAACACAACTATGTGTCCTCTAGATTCTCTTCTGATCATTCATTTAAGCATATATATATATATATATATATATAGAGAGAGAGAGAGAGAGAGAGAGAGAGAGAGAGAGAGAGAGAATAACTTCACACATTGTGAGTTTTTAGCAAGCAGAATTTATGTGCAGAATAATGGACCCGTCTAGAGCTGCCCTGCTCAGACACAAGCATCTTAGAAAGGATGCTCATGCTCCTGGCTATACTGACTCTAGTAAATACTTTGGTTCTGGTGACATTTTCTTACACATACATCATCAGGACCATTCTGAGGATCCCCTCTGCCCAGC